GCCTATATGGATTGGGAAAGAGCCATATAAAGCATACCATGACTGAAAATCAGCTCTGGTAAATAAATATAAACTTTACTGTGTGTCTGTTTTTGACATTTGTTTATTGTTATGGCAAATAATAGGATGATAGGAAATTGAAGTCATTTAATTGTAAAAGGAAAAGTGCTAATTACTTGGGAGTTAATTGTACCCAAGGAAGCCCGTGAATGGTTCATTTACTGGGATTATGAATTTAATTGTTTTTTTAAACATAACACACAGAACTAATCTTCTACCATTAACCAATTTTTTTTTATTGTTTAGTTTTTGATGTGCATGACTACAGCTTCAATACTTCATGTTAATTTATGTGGTGAAAGTCCGACAACCTCTTAATCCCTCCCCAAACTTATTATGTTTTTTAGATAAAAGGTTCAATGCTATTCACCCTATCTTTACCTTGAATATTAATGAATTCATTTTGGTACAAATACCCTTCAATACCCTAGAAAAAATATTGTGAGGGTTCCACCCCAAACTACCCTTACATGACTCCCCTTCTTAACTTAAACAGAACAACTTTTTGTAAACTCGGGTCAATAAATGTATTAGTTATTATTAATGTTAAAAATTAATGAAAAAAATCATAAATTAGCAAACAAATGCATGAACTTTTAAAAAACTAAATCGCTACATTGCATGCAAGGTTTGTTTATTCCTTACACTTATTATTCCATTTTGCCTACCTGTCACTCCTGAACCATAGCATGTTTCCCTAATTTCTCTTCAGTGGCATCATCTACAGGGTAAGAGCTTTAATTTGATACCTAAACTGTTCTTTTAGTTCAAGCCATTTACTCGGAATAAATTGGACAAATGAAACCCTCTTTCAATTAATATATAGATAATTATATCATTGTATTTTATATTATAATATTATGTATGTTTTTACTGATATGTTATAATGTAATATATAAGAAAATTGACATTTACTATACTTTAAAATATGTAGAGCTTTAGTAGTAATAATCATAATTTAAATAATAGTTAGTTAATAGGGGAGACTGGGGCTAGTCGTCGCAGTTTTTAGTCATTTCTGGTTTTAGGGTCTATAATATCAATTTGATTTATAATAAATATATGTACATTCAATAAGTTTTTGTCATAGTCATTAATTATTTTAGAAATTGTGTTATTCTGTGACAACATATCCTGTCTAGGGGTATGTTGTCACAGGGTATATGTAATCTAAGTTCTCACATTGTACGAGTTTATTTTGGTTATGTTAAATTATGCATAATATGACATTTACTCGTGCCAATTCTATAATCAAAATAAATTACTAATTTACTATTATTTATTTTGAGAAAGACAAGTAACTCAAATCTTTACATATTGTCTTCAGAGTCACAGTTGTGACAAACATAATACAGTAGAGCCTCGTAAACTCGGCACTCGATAACCCGGCACTCCGGATAACTGGGCCATACCCTGGCAGGGCAAAAAAATCATTAGTTAATTAATTTTCATGATAAAGACAGCTTTATGCCTCATAAAGTATTTTTCTGAGGTCTGTCTTATCAGGTAAATTACTGTACACAGTGTATTCATTAATTTTTATTTTCATGGAGTAAAGGCTCTATGCCTTCATAAAAGACATACTTTTCCTTTGTTTAAGGGTATTTGGGTAGTTTATTCTCTGTTGTATTCTCAAGTAAACAATACATACAAGTACAGTACAGTATTTTCTGAGGAAACACTCATATTTTTTTTTTTAACCTTATTCCCAATAACCCGGCATTTTCACAAACTCGGCCACCCTTCGGTCCACATTAGGTCGAGTTTTTTAGGCTCTACTGTATTGATTTACATCTGTACATAGCTGGTGAGACCAAACTCTCACCACAAACCAAACAGAACGTGTTTTCTTTCTCTTCCGATGAGTTAGTCATACTGACAAGTTGCCCCATTTGATGTGTGATAATTTGCCCCAAATGAACTTCCTTAACAAATTGGTTCATAGTTTCTAATTTCAAAATAGAAAATTTGATTGCTCATAATGTACATATACTTTAAGGGCCCATTTAATAGGAAATACAGTTGTTATTCACCTTTTTCTATCAATAATTGAAAGTTTTCAAGTGGAACAAGGCACGATACATCAAAATATACACGACTTGCTGTAAAACTTTTAACTGCTAATTAATGGAAAACAATGCAACAGATATTATTCTAATTTTGTAACGACGTAGGCGAGCGGTAAATGAACATACTCCTAGATGACGTGACCATTCAGTTTCAATTATATAAGGCAATATTTACACTGTGACAACTAGCCCCAATCTCCCCTACATGTATAGTACATATAAACTATAATGAAAACAATTATTCATAGTATATTGTATTTTGTAACTTTTCATTTTAGTTATCAGCAACTTCATATAATACTAGTTCTAACAAATAGAATGCACTCGCTCTAACATGTTTATTATATCATAAGATTCTCTACACAGCTGTGATATCATTAAATCTTTCTGCAGAGAGATTCAATGATATCAGAGAGTCTGTTAATGCTATGGTGCAAGTCTCTCAACTGTTCTCAAGTGAATTTGGCATTTGTGTAGGTACCAATTTTCTAAAGTGTACAGGCAAAGTATTGGATCCTCCACAACTGAAGAGAAACCATTAGAGGTTTTAACTGAAGCTGGAATTGGTAAGTAAGACGTTTCACACAGGAGTGACATTTCACAAATAGATGTGTTAAAGATATTAGCCAATATGCTAATAGAAGTTGGGAGAAATATAGGGGTAAACTTTGCAGATCCATTGTAGTGAGAGGTTTTACGTGTCCATGATGTAAACGCACAAGGTATAATTAAGCAAGCTAAAGAAATGGAACAAGAATTGGAATTAGTAATAATAGTTTTTGTTACCAGCAGAAGATATCTATTCTGAAGTTAAAACAGTTGCTGATATAGAACTGGGACTTGACACAATGTGTAAGAGATGTAAATGCCACAGGGAGAAAGTCTAACACTTGGTTAATAAGTAGTCTGTATCAAAAAATAATTTATGAAATATAAAATATAAGGTATTTTGTGTAATTGTTTATAAAAATATACCAATATATTTACAGAAGGATTGAAACTAATTCAGTAAGCTGATTAGAACATAATATTCTGGTTTTGTTTAATTTTGTAAATGTATTTAGGACTGTTTATGTTTAACAAACTTAATACTAAAAATTTGTAATAAGGGCTTGTTTAAGTATTACATAGTTACTTTTTATATGTTGTAACTGTGTAAAAGTGCAACTTTAAAATAACTGTTTATGTAAATAATTATAAGAAAATAAATACTTAGGTACACACTCCAATGTATAGTGTTTCCATTCAAATATCATGGGTTTATAATTGAATATGTGGAAAATTTTTTTATACTGGTGTTAAATTTGATTAAAATTTTTGTATTAAAAGAAAAATTAAAGTTAAAATATTTTGTGAATAGCTTAAGACTTTTATTTATTCCATTATCCTGAAACCCTGGCTATAGAGAGGTTTCAAGGTCGCATGTCAGTGATAAAATACACGTTGCTCCACTCCTCCATGTTTATGGTCTCATCACACAATGAGGAAGGTTTTCCTTTGGAGTAAACTTTTCAGTAACATCCTAGAAGGGGAGGGCACGACCTGGGAAATTCACTTCGGGATGAGACCTGGTACTCCTTTAGGGTGTTCAACCTTCAAAACAAGAAAGTGCAATGGCCAGTCAATTAGTATCTGTTCCTTGCCCTTGTTTATAATTACTAGTATATACATGGCACCATTTCCATTCTTCAGCTAGGCTGGTCGACTTATCACGAAGAAGACCCTCCCATAATGAGCAGTCTTCTGACCGATCATATAGTGTGATGTGACCGGCATTAACAAATAAGCTGAGAGATCCAGGCAACTCAGACACACCGTGAAGAGCAGTTGAGAAAAACTCCACAGTTCTGTGGCCACGTGGCGTTTTTCCCGATGACTCTTCACGAATTCAACACCTAAATAGGGGCCAGTTTCCCATAAAAAGCCTCATCAAAGGAGGAATTCCGTTTGACAGGTGTGTTGCATTGCCTTATCCCATTAATCCTAGCAACATCCCGAAGTGAATTTTCCAGGTCGTGTCCTCCCCTTGTTAAAGAAATGTTAATGTTGCTCACAAAAATGACCTAACTTAGCTATATGTAAATAAACAATTGATATTGGTTTATATCTTTAAAAATACACACTTTTATTTATGTAAATTAGAATGGAAGGACAATTGGTTCAAAATTAATTTTTAATTCATCACCTGCTAAGCGATTATCTTTGCTTAACATTTTAATATTAACTCTACTGTATATTTATGCCAAGCAGACACTAAGAAAACAACTTAAAAGGTGAAAAATAAAGTTAGAAAGCAATTATTATCTATTCAAACTAAAATCTTCGATTGAAAAAATTAACTTTATTTCGTCAGTATTAACAAAGGTATTTATTTAGCCGGTTGTAAACACTATGATACTCATGAAAACGTTCACTAGTTATCAAGAAATGATTAGATAACTTCATTTATTCCTTACCTCATGAAATACAGTAGAGCGTCGATTATCCGAATCAATTGGGGACTCGGATTGTTCCGAAGACCGATTGTGTACGAAAAAATACATTAACCTATCCAGTGTTGAAATTTTTCTCCGTTGCGTGTCGCTTTGCGTTGAATTTTCGTCGATGTTAAGCCTAACGAAGACTATTGTATCGTTAGAAATTATTTTTTTATTTTGTACGAACAGAATAAATATATTGAAAAATATAAAAAATTATACTTCAAAAGTTAATTTAGTATCAAAAACGTAAAATATTTGAGTAGCCCAAGACATAGCCAAAGATTGCAGGGCCACAGCACTGGCGAAAATTTAAATTTGCCGAATGGAATTCTTTCGGATAATCGACGCTCTACTGTATTTCTGAGAAACTTGTATTAATATTTACTTTATCCTTATTGAAATTTTTCGCTTAATTCTCGTGAGTCATGCAAATTGCCTTTGTCGTGAAATCTCCTGAGTTTGGGCTCCTTGATGGCAAATAAGAACAATTTTTATAGGGAATTTTACACTATATAAACTAAAAAGTGCGATTAACAGAAGCTAAATGCATGTTTACAGCCAGCTTGTGTGCAGAAAAATCGAAATTTCTAAACATCAATTTAAAAGATAAAAAAATTAATTTATAGGTTTCGGTTTCGTTTTCCAAACCGAAACTGAAACTGAATAGGTATATATATGTGTACACAGCGCGAGAAATATAGATGAATGTGTCTGTGTAGACGTGAAATATACGATAAACTTCGAAAATGGATCCTAAGAGAAAGGACAGCGATCAAGCAGGTCAACGTAAAGGTAAATAATAATTATTATTTATAAGTGTTAACACAGCATCACCTGTGTATTTAGGATTAAAAAAGACGGATCAATTGATCAACTGTAAATGAGGTGATTATAATATTTTATATAAACGAGACATCATTTAATGCTTCGTTTTTGTATATTTCCTGTTGTAATTTTTCTCATTGAACTAGTAGTAAATTCGTATTACGTGGTGTCAACGCCATGTTGGAATATGGATCGCGAATACTTACGAAGTACATTATCTCTTTTTTTCTCCGTGTTTTGGTTTTAGTACTTTTAAAGATTGTTATGAGACGTAAGCCACTATTTTTTACATAATTTATTAAAGATATTGGCGGTAAAGTACGATTAAACTAGTTACGCTTTCCTCTTTACTATGGCGACGAAAAGATGGTAGAGTTTGCTTAAAGTGCATCATGAACTTTTATCTGTCTAACATTTATTGAAAATTATTTATCGTATACAACACGATGACAGTTATCTATTAGAAGAGAGTCAAAGAAAAAGACTTGATAACCAGTTTTGTTTGCACTTACTAACTGGAAGAATCCGTGATGCTGAGAGCCGAATCTGTTGGATGAGAGGCATGGCATAGAGATAAGACTGAATCATTTACTCGACCTAATGTTAACATTAACAAAGAAAAGTTTATTTTACGTGTTTGCCATCCGAGAGGAGTAGAAAAAGTGTACATGCTTATACAATAGTTGTGAGTCATGCCACCGTTTGGACACCTGACTATAGTATACATATGTTTAGTAAGGGTAGGGTGATAAGAATTCCACGAAACTTTTCACAAACAATATTCGATACAAACCCCCTTTTAGGGGAAGTTTCGTGGTTACATTTATTTTTATTTAATACAACGTTTATTTTACATTGATTCTATCTAAACAGGTTTTCAATTTAAGAGCGTTTAATGGTTTTGTCAAAAAATCTGCCGACATTTTTTCTGTTGGGATTTACGAATTTAATTAATAACATTACCTGACTTAACGTTTTCGTATACATAGGATAGTTTTTTGCTACGTGTTTGGGCTTGTAGTTAGAACTTCCGCTGTTGATTAGACTTATGGCAGCCTGATTACCGCTATAAATCGTCGTTGTTTTGTTAGAACCTTTCTGTTCTTATTCATTGAGGATCATTTTTTTAACCATGCCGATTCTCTCGTAGCCTCGGTTAATGCCGTCAATTTACTTTCGAATCTTCGTTTTAAACCACGCTCTTCCAGCCTGTTTTAAGCCGTAGATAGAACGATTTATTTTACATATTTTTGATTGGTGTCCTTTTATGAATCCCATCTGTTGTTCCATATACAGTCGACCCCCTATAACACGATAGATACGTTCCTGTTTTTATGAATCCAGCTTTTAGGAGTCCAGCCAATCACAGCCTGGCACGTATGCAGTTTACGGACTACGACTGTTTGAAAGGTTTCTTCCATAAAATTAATCGATTCTAGACTAATTGGACTCAACATTTCCAAAATACGTATAATTTTTTGCGAATAAATCATATAAACTATGCTATAAACAAAAAATTGTAGGATTACTTACCGAGAGTGCACCGTTCGACTACGCCGTTGCTAAGGCTTGTTTTCGTCGCGGAGATTGTCATCGAATGGCGCTTGCGTGCTTCCTGATAAATTATTTTTTTTGCGAAAAATTCGCTGAACTTTAGAGACATCATCAATATAAATATAATTTTTATGGACGTTAAATAATAAATGGTTTTTGGTAGGTCCGCTGCTCGTTTAAACTCAACGGTTTGTGCAATCCTGTTGCGACACGAGTCGGCGATGACGTTATAACGAATTATAGGAGTTTTTTTAGCATGTTTGTACGAATACTGTCGCAATTTTTTCGCCGTGATATAGGAATCTGTGTTATAAGGGGGTCGATTGTATATGCATTCATCCAAATTGCTGTGTAGATAGGCCGTTATAATGTCGTATTGGCTTATTTTCTAATTCTTTCGTGTTGCAATTACCAATAAGATTCTTATCGTTTCCAATTTCGTCACAGGCGTAAATGTTTCCTTGTAATTTATTCCTTATTTTTGGGAACATGCAAAGGCTACCAGTCAAGCCTTTTTCATATTTATAGATCCACTCTGATTCATTTTGTTTTTGTATACTCATTTTAACTTTATAACATTAGTGTTTGATTCTCGGTCAACTAGGTCCTATACTCTGTGTCCCATCAGTGATTGATATTCATTATTCATAGCTTTTCACCACGATTTATATTCTCGACAAGTGATCGCTTTTTTGAAGGTAGTTGGTGTGAAATCGTGTGTTAAATTTACTACATTTGTATCACTCCATTCGTCTGTATTAGAGAAATTTTCGTCGTCGTTAGGTCTGATTCCTTGTTGGATTCGCTCTCTGATTCAAACGAATCCTCACTTTGGGTATAGTTGGGTTATTTATTTGTGTGGCTTTCGTCGTTGTGCCTATCGTCATCCCTCATTCTTTCCGTATCTACGGATGTGGGATCGTTGTTTTCGTCCGTATCGCCTAAATCTATTTCTATCCAGGAATTTGTTTGTGTTTTTTCTATTAGTTTCCCCGTCCAGCAGTTCACTTCCCCACGATATTTGGTGAACTGAATGTCCCTGGTACAGTACCTTCACCTTATTTGTTTTTGGGTCATATATTTTGTAGGCTCGTCTAATCCTCGATTATTCTACAAATATAACTGTAGAAATTTCTTGATACTTTTTGGCTATACAGTACTCGTCTACGATCATCATCATGTATCTGTCGCCTGTGAGCGATTCGACAGGCTTCGGTCCTACGAGATCTATATGGATGTTTCGTCATATTACTTTTAGTTTTTTAGGAGGGTTTTCTAGTGTGTTTGTCAGACTTGTATTCAGTGGTGATATTCGAAATATTTAACAAAGGGTTCGCTAACAGAAAATTTTTCCTTAACAATTTTTTTTGTTCAAATGGTGCATCGGAAGGATCTAGTTTAGTAGTGTTACAGAGTATAATACGTATATTTTAATATATTTTTAAAAGAATCAAAACCATTGAGAAATGTCACATGTGTTTAACAAGGTTCGGAAAAGTTTGAAAATGTTAACAACGGGTTCGGCCAAACCTGTGCGAACCCGCTGAATATCACCACTGCTTGTATTCATATTTCGCATTGGATCATTTTTGTATTCTTGTAGTCGAGTCCTCTAAGCAAGTTTTGTCTTTTCGTTATGTCGAGGTATGTTTCATTTACGTGTTCCAGTTTTCTATGCCATAGAAGATTTTTTTTCCTCTTTCCAGCTCATTAGTGGTGACTTGTTTAGCGGAATTTTGTTCATCAGCCTCTAAAATAAAAAAGCCATTATTTGTGTTGTTTTGGCTATTTTTCTCTTTGTATCTAACCGACCTTCGTTCTAGGTTTTCCCAAACATCGCGTCTAACGTTTAGATTCAAAATTGGACTAACTTCGTGTTCTTCCATTGTGCATGTGGTGATTTCAAGAGCTTCGTTGCTTTTCCTTAGCCACATGCCATAGGTTGCTTTGTCTTCGGGTGTGACTGTTCTCCAGGAATTTCTGACCTGGGTGTTTCGAGTACGTTCATCAGATCTTGACCTTCTAACAGATTCTTTATTATATATTTCCATATTAGGTAGTTCGATCCATTTAACTTTGCTATTGAGCTCAGTCCTTTAGCTTTCTCGGCTATCTTTCTTTTGTTCTTTCAGTACCTTTGTTTGAGAACCTTAGGCTACTCGAAAACTTATGAGATCACTTGGGAGACTTATTCTTTAAACGTTTTCTGGGCGCATAACCGATTTTTGGATGAGAGAGATGGCATAGAGATAAGCATATGAATGATTTAGTCAACCCAATGTTAAGATTAACAAAAAATTTATTGTACGTCTTAGCCATCCGAGAGCAGTATAATAAGCGTACAAGCTTTTACAATAACGAGTTACGTCATCCTTTGGACATCTGACTAAAGTACACCTACGTTTAGTATAGATAGGGTAATAAGAATTTCCCAAAACTCGCCACAAACAACATTCGCTACACCATTTCAAATAAGTAAAATATTGGAATTATTTGAAACGGCGATATTTTAAAATTTTACATTAATATTTCTAATAGAAAAGAAAATAAAGAGTTTATGATTGTTTTAAAAACTATTATTTTTATGCAATAGTTAGAGGCCGTGGTCGAGGTCACAAACCTCATCCTGCCATACCTGTTGGAGGGATACAAGAATCACAACCATCAGGAACAGAAGATAGAAGACCAGTGACGAGTGAAGCAACAACAAAAATTGTACCTGGTGAGTGTGCCAAAATTACAAATCCCGTCACAATACATCACAGTGGTGCCTCGTACTTCGAATTTAATTCATTCCAGGAAACCGTTAGAAATCGGAATCAATTTTCCCATTATAAATAATGGAAAGTCAATTAATCCATTCTCACACAATTAACAATACCCATTTCGATAGACTTAAAAACAAAATCAAGTCGAAATGTCTTTGGATAAAATGCCCTTTGGGCTTAAAAGATACTTTGTAGAAGAATAAGAATGTTCAGATTATTCTCCAAATCATAATATTCAATATTTTAAATACGTCTGATACAAATATATATTTTTTATAATAGGTAGAGGTCGTGGTCGAGGTCACAAGCGTCATCCTGCCTTACCAGTTATAGGGTTACAAGAATCAACATCAACAGAATATGAAAAATTAACGATAAAAGAAGCAGCAGAAACTGCTTCTGGTGAAAGTATACAAAGACGATCTCTCACTTTAAACACAGGTTGGTTATTGGTTATACACAGATTTTTTTTTATAATACAGTAGAGCGTCGTTTATCCGAATCAACTGGGGACTGAGGTTGTTCGGATAACCGATTATGTATGAAAAAATATATTAACCTATCCCATGTTGAAATTTTTCTCCGTTGCGTGTCGCTTCGCGTTGAATTTTCGTCGTAGTTAATTAATTAAGTCTAACGTAAACTTTTTAAAATAATAATCGTGGCTATTGTATCGTTAAAAATTATTTCTTTATTTTTTACGAACAAAATAAATATATTGAAAAATATAAAAACAAAAAAAAATTATACTTTAGAAGTTATCTAGTGTGAATACGGGGGAGTAAGGCTCCCGTTCAATTGTCAGGATGATATGTCAGGCGAGTGTAAAGAGAGTTGATTGGGGTCGACGATAAGGTGAAAGGCGAGATCGAGTAAAGGAGTCTACCATTTTTTTAACAAATATAAAATAACAATTTATTAAGAATAGGCAAAATGACAAAAACTACACAAAGCTCTATATTGACCTAAAGTTTCTATACAGACAGAGAGTTTCTATACGACAGAGAGAGTTTCACAGTGCTTTGATACCTCTTATAGCCGTCCACTTTGACGATTCTGAACGTGGATGCCTTTAAAATATCGATTCAAGGAATAATCCACAAATACGGCACAAATTATATAAAATCGCGACTTAAGCGCTCATTTAATTCGAGGTTCATCAGGGATCGGAATTCGGCTGGTTCGGAAGATCGGCGCGATGTTGTTAATCCTGCGTTCGGTAATAGACTCCCCTGAGAGGGGGTAAGAACGGCCTTTTATCCGTTTTAGTGGGGAATTTCCACCACGTGATCGGATGTACATAGGTTAGGGGTTATAGGTGTTCCTAGGATGTACAACAAATGACGACATTTGGATGCTAACTGTCAACCTTTTTGCAATATGAGATGCAAGTTCTGCAGAAAACAATAGATGTTGCTACTTAAGATCGGAAAGTTTACACAATCCCGGCTAAAAAGCGTTTTTTTCTACCAGGGCGTTACATAAACGAAAATTTACTTAATTAACAATTTTGTTAATAAAAGAGCGATATTTCCGTCACCAAAATTCCGGATCTCACACTAGTATCAAAAACGTTCGATTCAGCATGACACACAGCCCTCAGAAAAACACCAAACAAAAGTGACAGTGCTGCCAGCTAAAACATACACAAACATAAAAAATATTGGAGTAGCCCAAGATATAGCCAAAGATCGCAGCGCCACAGCACTAGCGAAAATTTAAATTTGCCGACTGGAATTCTTTCGGATAACCGAATTTTGGATAAACGACGCTCTACTGTAATAATATATTTAAAAATATATATGCAGGGTGTCCTAAGTCAATGTTGGCATTTCTCAGTCGACAGTCATAAAAGTTTGGGAATACCTTAACGAGATGATGGGAATTTTTCACAGAAAAAGTTTGTTCGAAAAACACCATTACATGGTGCGTTTTGAACTGAAATAACGTTCATTTCAAAACGCACCCTGTACGTTGGCCTGCAAGATCTCCAGACTTGCATCTATGCAATTTTTGGCTCTACAGTTATCTCAAAGACTTGGTCTACCATTATCCCATAACATCTATGTCATACCTTAAAGACAGAATAGCACGCCATTTTCGTAACACTCCAAGGCATACACTGCACGCAACCGTTGGACATGTTGTTTTACGCTTTCACACGGTACAAGACAATGGTGGTGATCATGCTTTGTTCACATTAGATAGATAACTTGTGTAGCTGATTATTGTGTTACGTATAAAACTATAATACGGCCTCTAGTAGATGTTTTTCGAAGTTAATTTTTTTATGCTGAAAAAATTTCCATCATCTCATTAAGGAATGCCCAAACTTTCATGATTTTCTAATACTCTAGCCAGCTGAGAGATGTCAAGTCAAATTTGGACACTGTATTAACATTTAATGAAATTTACAATTTCAGAAAATGTCATTCATTCTTCAGTCACCCATGAGGATAGAAAAGAAACTTCAGTCAGAGCTCTTCGTTCGGTATTTCAAGAAGAACACGCTGTTGATTTCCTGTCTACTGCAATGAAAAGACTGGGTCTTGAACTAACTTTTAATGGTTCTACAAGATATAATTATGCTAAACGGCCGGGGGTTGGCATTAAGGGTAAAAAGATAAATTTATTTGCAAATTATTTTCCAATAGATATACCACAAGGAGAATTATTTCATTACGACGTTCAGATTGAGAAAGTTGTACCCGAAACAAGAAAAGAGGATAATAGTGAGGAAAAGGTTGTATCAGTAAGGAAAAACGAGAGTATTAATGAAGGCAAGCCTGTCCATAAAAAGTATAGATGCCAAAACACTAAAATAAATAGAAACGTTATAGAAAAACTGATTAGGGATGAGGCTATGTTTAGAAATAGACGACCGGCTTTTGACGGTCGAAAAAACTTGTACACTCGAAATCCGTTACCTATAAAAGACACGAAAGTATTTACTGTAAAGATTGCAGACGATTTCAATCCCAAAATAGAGGTAAGTTACGAAATAAAAATAAAACCTGCAGAGAGTAAAGATACAGCGGAAAGATCAGCCAAAAATTCAATTAGTTTGAAACCATTACATGAAGTGTTAGCTGGTAACAGAAGTGACATAACAGAAAGTATTATTATGGGAATGATGGCCATAGAAACTATACTAAGACACGGTCCTGCTCTGCGTTTAATACCTGTTGGAAGATCCTTTTTTGTAAAGCCTCAAATGGGGGAGATTCATCCGTTGGGTGAAGGAATGGAAATTTGGTTTGGCTATCATCAAAGCATTCATCTAAGCAAATGGAAACCCATGCTGAACATAGATAAATCGGCAACGACGTTCTATAAAAGTTGTTCCGTTCTTAACTTTATGTTTGAGACATTATTCCCAGATATTAGAAACGTTGAATCCTTTGCAAGACAATTGAGAGGACTCACTGATGTTGAAAGGAAAATTTTAAGAAAGAAAATGAAGGATATGAAAATTGTTGTAACTCATTTGGGTTATCCCCGAAAGTACAGAGTTCGAGACATCACAAGGGACAATGCTAACAACATTATTTTTATGAGAAAGATTAATAATACGGAAGCTCCTTGCTCGGTATCAGAATATTTTTGTTCTGAATATGGAAGCCTAAAATATCCTAACTTACCTTGTTTGAATGTGGGAAGAAAAGAAAAAGATGTCTTCCTTCCGATCGAAGTGTGCAATATTGTGGAAGGTCAACACTGTAACGAAAAATTATCCAAGAATCAAACTTCAGATATGATTCGATACATGGCACGTCCTCCCGCGGAAAGATTTAATGATATTAGAAAATCAGTGAATGACATGATGCGAGATTTTCAACCATTTTCAACAGAATTTCACATCAATGTAAGCCTTAACATGTTAAAGTGTACGGGCAGAGTGCTAGATCCTCCAAATATAATGTATGACAAAAGTCAGAACATTACACCTTTCAACGGAAGTCGGGCTATGAAATATAAGAAATTTCATACAGGAGTAAAAATTGAGAAATGGATGCTACTAAGTTTTTCTACCGAACCATCCTGCAACCAAAATACTTTAAATAATTTTGTGAGATTGCTAATGAACGGTGGAAGAAGTGTAGGAGTAGATTTTGAACAACCTCTTGCTGTAAGACGTTTCACTTGTGATAACCCAGGAAATATAATTAGGAAAGCTAAAGAGAAGGAACCCGAATTGCAATTAGCAATAATAGTATTACCAGCAGAAGATATCTATTCTGAAGTAAAAACAGTTGCAGAAACAGAACTGGGACTTATGACACAATGTGTAAGAGATGTAAACACCACAGGAAAAAAGTGTAACGCCCAGTTAATAAATAATCTGTGTCAAAAAATTAATGCTAAAATGGGTGGCATTAACAACTCCTTATCTAGAGAGGACAAACCTGCAATTTTTAACAAACCTGTCATGATTGTAGGTATCGATTGTAATCATCCTGCTCCTAGTAGCGAAGTAAAATACTCGATCGCAGCAGTAGTAGGAAGTCTCGATTCACATCCTAGTAAATACAAAGCTTCCATTCGTGTTCAGCACAAAAAGCAGAAAATAGATGGACAAGATTATGGTCAAGACATCGTAATTGAACTGAAGGTCATGATGAAAGAAGTTTTGCTGGCATTTTTCAATAAAACCAACGGAAAAAAACCAGAAAAAATTATTGTCTTTAGAGACGGCGTTAGCGAAGGCGAATTTCAGAAAGTGATGGATTACGAACTAAGAGAAATTAGAAAGGCGTGTGAAGAAATGGCACCTGGTGAGACCTACCGACCCCCCATCACTTTCATCATAACGGGAAAACGTCATCACACGCGTTTTCTTCCCGAAAATCCGAGAGACGGTGTGGTCAGACCGGAAAACGTTCTTCCTGGTACTACAGTGGATACGGATGTTGTACATCCCGTGTTTTACGATTTCTTCTTATGCAGTCATTTTAGCATACAGGGTACCAGTAGACCCGCTCATTATACTGTTCTATGGGACGATAACGATTTCACGGCAGACGAGCTACAAGTATTAACATTCTACCTGTGCCATAATTATGCCAGATGCACCAGGAGCATATCTATACCTTGTCCGGTTATGTACGCCGATCTGGTAGCATACAGAGCGAAGCAATATCTCACTAACAAAACAGAAGGTACGTCTAGTTCTGGTAGTGGAGCGTCAGAACGTGAAGAAATTATTATTGAAGAATGTGTTAAAGAAGCCATAAAAGTAGTTGATAAAATAGAAAATAGAATGTATTTCGTATAATTCCTGATAAAAAAATTTGGTATTTTATGATGATAAATGGAATTACTAAATTATCACATTAATTACAGAATATGGATTGAGCTAAAATTATGGCTTTACACTTAAGTGATTCCAATGGCTTGGGCTCTATTAAAATACCACAGCATTTTCCAAAGTATTAATGAACTAGCAGATAAGCCTAGTATTGCTGGGGCAAAAAGTATTGATAGCGAAGATGATGGAAATAAATATTACTCATTTAAAATTACTTATTACAACAATTTCTGAAGTTTAAAAACACCACTGATGTAATGGTTTCCCTTTAATACATCATAATAGTTAATAAATCTTGTTTGAAATAAGTGCAGTGCATCTTATACTGTTATTTCGTTAACATCGGTTAGTATTTTTACAATATGATGTAACGAATTAAAAACATGTTACTTTATTTCAATATTTCTGTACATGAAATTTCATTTTAATGATTTAAAATAAACTTGTCAGCTTTAATTAATTGAGTAAAATAGGAACATTACTTTTACGTACACAAAAACAAATTACTCAGCAAACACAAATATATATATTTTACTTTCCCGGCTGTTATAACGGAGAAAAAGTTGACTATTCAGTTGACACTGTAAAAGATAGAACCTGCAACACGAAATCCCAAGTTGGGATCGGATCTTCGATAACTCAAGAAGCGGTTTTGTAGCTGTGTTGCATTATAAATTTCACTGAGTTAGAAGCGTAATCACTGCTACTGTATTGTTATTTTATTATAGAGTAACTATGTTATTAAGTGGTGTAACATATGCAAACTGAGATACATCTCAACTGATGTATTATGTCAATACAGTAGAAATACACTAATTGTAGTAACCCAAGTCGTGACTCGATTGTGTCTTTAAATAATTGTAAATATTTGTAACGCTAGCCATTTCTTTATCTTGTAATTTTATTGTTGTTTTAATAAACGCCGATGAAAGCGCTCTGTGGTATGTCCCATGGCTTCTTTTCAAACTTTCCTATCTTCCTTTGTATCTTCCACACCTCGTTTCACATGCTTTCTTTTTTCCGTTTCTTATAAGGCGAATTCTGTGTGCGAAACAGACAACTCTTTCTAAACTTTCTCTTTATTTCTTTGTTATTTAACGATTTATATGGAGATTCTAGCTTTACGTGCTCTTTTTACGATAGACATGTAATGATCGCTATGCAACCGAAGAGCCGGCCTTAGACTGTAGAAACGTGCGCGAGGAGAAAGAATGCCTTCTGGGTGGACTTTTATGGGAAACTGGCCCCTATTCAGGCTTCATTGAAATGGAAAAAACGCGGAAACCTGCATGCTGCCAGCCCGTCCGACCGAACTCCCAGTGTACAAGGTCTAGTCCACTCAAGTCTGGGGACGAAGACCGCTCGGCCACTCGTTGGCCTTTCTAATCTTTATTAATCGGTCGGGAATCTTTGTCGTCAGTCTCGATAATCGAATGAGTGTGTATTGAAATTACAAAAGAAGTAGAACGGATGCAAATACACGTAAATTTCGACACTACCTCTACCTCAAAGGGTGAGGACACATAATATGATTTACAGAGACATTTAAAAATGTGATAAATATCACTTTCTATAACAGTTTTTACAATCGTCAGTCATCATTAAAAATATCACTTTCGCGAATTTCGTTTAGTGATTTTAAGAACGTTCTCACTATGCAAGTGTGCTACAGAAGTATGCGTAATTCTTAACCAATTACAATCAAATTTTTACGTATGACACATGAATTATATTCTGCCAATCATACAAGTCTAACACTGCACTCAGTAAATCGAAAGTGCTCAATCATTTGTCTGTCGCTAAGTCTGCCAATTATTTATTTCGAGCTAAATACATGCTAATATATGTGACTGGTTTTACGTTAGTTTTATAAATGTAATTTCTTTATATCAATAAAAATAATGAAACATCTAAAAATCCAACAATACATTTATAATAAACAGATACGTTGATGTTATAATAATAAATTTTAAACAATGAATTCATCTATTTTCGCCGCCATGTTTGGAATTCTGGATTTACAAGGCGTATTTGAATATGTTTGCTATGTTGTCACATGTTTTCTGTATCTTCTCTTTCTCCTGAACATGATGGGTAAGAACTATTTGGCATATATCTGACATTAATATTTAATTTGACGACTTGATAATCTAGCGGTTAAGGGGTAGAGTACTCCTCTCTCGGTGTGAAAATTGTATTTGGAGGGGTGGAAATTTCTAAGTACATTTTGTGGGTGGCCCGTTTCTCGTCGCATATTGTGAGCCTGGCCGTAAAAATTCTTTTGAGTTCACAGGAAGAACGAATTTAAAACAATTTAATATTTACTCATTTATTTTAATTACAGTTATAGCCAGAAGGGCAGACGAGAAGGAACGTCAGAATCCTGCACGTAACATTAATTTTAAGGCAGAAAAAAGATCATGGAAGCATAAATCAGCGACATTCAAGGCAGAATTGGAAGGAAAGAACAAAATACATGCATTTGTAATTCAGCGATGGCATTTGCGATGTGTGTATAGAGAGCGAATAATGGAACGTGTTTGTAGTGTTATAATTCAGAAGTGGTTCAGAACAACTGTAAATTTTAATAACTTATACAATTACTGCATAATGAAAAAAACAAATAGAATGTTCTTTAAAGGGAATGTCTGTTGCCTAACTTCGACTTCACGGATTGAAAATAATGGTAATAGAAGCAAGTACATGCGAAGAAAGAATCAAATGTACGATGTTAATAATGATAAATCAAAAAATTTATTTCGAAATAGAAACATGGAGTGTAATGAGGATTCAGAACTTATGATGCCCATTATCTGTAGCAAACATGACTCGAAAGATTATCCTGTTTATACCACAATTCCTTTTGATATATTTATAAACAGATATTTAGTAGAAATTACTAATATACAATTTTGGTATCGCAAAATGAGTCTTTTCGAGCATTTACACCAGCTAAAAGATATAAAAGTCCATCTGTTTAAGACCGACATGACCCTATTTAAAACACTCTCTCGTATTATCAACTATCTAATTGAATTAAAGAAGAGAAATTCTAAATTTCAGACAGTTGAAGGGATAAATATTTTATATTGTTACTTAGTAGAAAAATATATTATCATGGGCATTTGTAAAGTAAAAAGATGGTACTTAAGACATTTATTTAAAAAATCAATTCCTTCATTTTCGAAGCTTCAGAATAATCTTCTGACAATAGAAAAATGGTATACAAGTCAAGTTTTCCTTTATTTAATAGCTAAGAAAGAAGCGTCACGGCAAATAGAAATGTGGTATAAATTCAAATTTATACGTATGCCCAACCAAACTCCTATTAAAATATATGCTAATCGCTCTTATAAACTCAATACAATATTCGTCCAATGTATAAGAATTTCAATAATGATAATTTCTATGAAACAATTTCCTATTGTAGAACGAAGAGACTACAAAATAAGAAAATATTTCAAATTTTTAATAGAATGTAAAGCTGTGTGTATTTTACAGAAGTGGACAAAAATAAACAATGCAAGAAACTTTATATATGATTACATTTTAAAAATTACTGAGCAAAGAATTAATCGTATTTGTAAATGGTATCGAGAGTTGTCTGGACGTAGAATAGTTATAACAAACGTTTTAACAATACAAAGCTGGTGTAGAATGATAATTAGAAGGCACGAAACAGTGAAAACATTACAACTAATGATATCCCAAAATAGAGATGATTGTACATACGAAATCGATAAGGATTTTCGTGAATTAAACTCATACCTGCTGGAACTGAAAAAAAGTCTAATCGGATTATACGAATTTCAAAGCTCTTTTCCATCTTTTATGAATTATTGTGAAGATTTTAAACAGACAAAAAATGAAGATTTCTCACAATTTCAATGCAGTTTCATACAGATGAAAAAATTCTTGTTATTATTATGTAAAAGCCCTGAAAACAACAAGAATCCTTTCCAAATATTAGACCATTCTGTAAAGAATATCAACAATGTAAAATCCATATAAAAGTTTATTTTTGAATAATTTATCAAAATTTTTGAAAATTCTTTTACGCTTGTAATAGAGTTATAAACAATAAACAAAATTTTCAATTTATTCTGTAAAATTTGTTTAATTTCTGACGATAAAAGTATAAATTGATTATGTATTTACTGAATTTCATTCCTTTAGGCTTACTGAAACCTGAAAAATCTGTTTGATTTAATTAACACCCCATTAACGATCTAAGATGAGTTTGCAAACGTGTGTGCTTCAGTCAGGAATAAAGTAATGCCTGTACAATTGTATCAATTACTATTAACGAACAAAATCTAGTTTCGGATTTTAACGAATTCCAGTCTTTTCCAACAGAAATCTCTCCCTCAATATAATAATTTTACATTAATTACAATAAGAAAACGCTAGAATCTATTTTAATTTACACACCACACACAGTGTGAAGTGTATTGTGTAAATATATACAGCTGTATTTAATGATTTCAGCTGTGAATTTTTTGTTTTTATATTAATTAAATAGATTTAACTGGATGTATATATTTTTGTGTTCTAATACTATTTCCCCGGCTGTTATGACAAGAGAAAGTAATAGAAACGTATAAAATTTGAACCTCAGATTTTTTGGGAAACTTCAGCAAATTACAAATCATAAAAAATTTTAGTAGCATTCAACAATTTGAATTTTAATTACATTATAAACGTGTGATAAAAGTAATGTTTATACAATTATTTATACAAATTTACAATTATAAGAGAATTTCTAATATTATACAAGAAAATTTTCTGAAATTCTTCAATGAAATGGTAAGAAAGAATGTGAAGAAATCGATTTCTGTTGATTTTTGTGTGTTTGTTCAAAGCATTTCTGAAAAAAAATATATTAAAATAAGAATAAATAAATCAAACAGTTTAAAAATTAAATAATTTAAATTGTAGAATTACGTACAAAAGATAAATTATCTTATGATTTAAATTATATAAACAAATTTTATGTACAAGTCGACTTCCCTATAACACTGTTGATTTTCCCGTTTTATATGAATTCCATGTTGTACGAGTCACTTAGATTTTACAAATACGTGTGCGGGGCTGTGAACGGTTAACGTATTTGTAAAATCCAAGTGACTGGTACAACATGGAATTCATATAAAACGGAAAAATCAACAGTGTCATTACCACTCAACTAGGTGCACAGGTAGACACTATGCTTTTTTCATAGCTTTTTATTCTGCAATATTCTGCATTCGCCCCTCATCTGTCAGCTTTAACATTTAGACATTTGTTTACTGGTGTTAACCACTGATCTATACTTGTACATGTTACACAAACGTTCGTAAAATTACTATTATAATAAGTTTTTAACGTGAACTACGGATGTTTTTATCTTATCCTGTAACCTAGGAATGAGGAGCAAATGCCCGAAACGTATCGGGTTGTAAGATATTGCAGAATAAAGAGCGATGTTAAAAAGCCTAGGGCCTATCCGTGCACCTAATTGAGTGGTAAAATTACTCCTCAAATTACTTTCGCAATTACGCAATAATTAGTTTATTATACATGAATCGAACGTGGTAATACTTACATTGATAGTGGGATAAGTTTTCGGATCGTCGAAACTCAAAGTGTACAGAGCAGAACCGTAACATTTGACAAATTTCCCGTATTCCTATTAATTAACATAAATTTTACTGAGTTAGGAAATTAATAATAATTAATCTAACGTTAAAAAGTTTAGAAGAATTACATGAGGTGATGTCTGTCTGATTTTACAAAGGTAATCATCAATCTCGCGGTGTGTTTGAAAAAATTTCAGCTGTTGAATACAGTTTTTAGTGAATTCAAGAACCTAAATAAAGAATAACAATACACTATTATTAGAAAGATTTACTTTAAAATAAAATGTTTTTTAAACTTTAAAAGCTTACCAGGTCTGCCCTATTTTCAATAATACAAAATCGAAAGTTAGCTTTCGTCTCGTCGCTCAAAGCTAATGTAGAAGAGCAAAAAACATGGAAATAATAATTAAAGACGTACCAGATTTTTATAAGCTTACACAGAACATTATGGAAATAAATACAGTAGAGCGTCGATTATCCGAATCAATTGGAGACTGGGATTGTTCGGAAGATCGATATTTCGGATAACCAATTATATAAGAAAAAATATATTAATTTATCCCATCTTGACATTTTTCTCCGTTGCGTGTCGCTTCGCGTTGAATTTTCGTCGATGTTAAGCCTAACTCAAGACTATTGTATCGTTAAAAATTATTTTTTTATTTTTAATATAATATGATATAATATAACATTTTTTAATTTTTAATATAAAAACAATAAAAAATTATACTTCAGAAGTTAAGTTAGTATCAAAAACGTAAAATATTTGAGTAGCCCAAGACATAGCCAAAGATTGCAGCGCCACAGCACTGGCGAAAATTTAAATTTGCCGACTGGAATTCTTTCGGA